TATATACTTGAATATCTACTATAATCTATTTACTTCATATAATACTTTACTATTATCAACTTATTAACTTATCAATCTCCTCTAATAAATTCATGAAATCGTTATTACTTTAATGTCGATTTTTACTATAACGAACCCTTCTCTCCTCATATTATTACTTCCTTTGACCAAAAACTCAATTGTAAAAATACTTGACTAACATACTCACTTACCGCAACTTAAAAAATGATTATTTTATGAGGTGTTCCTTAAGCTAGAAGTTATCTTACTCAAAGTTAACTTATATAACTTAATATTGACGGTTTCACTTCTTGCTTTGTTACAACTTAACTCTAATCTACTAATGACGACTAACAGCTAGGGGGCCTGGGGGCGGAGCCCCCAGCGAGCCAAAGGCGAGTAATTGATATACACATGCCAAAACTATGGTAAAAATACTTATGGGTTTCCAATTTTTATTTACCATTAGTTGGATCTAAATTGAATGTAACACTAAATGTTATACAGTATATCAAAAACATGAGATTGACAAGTTGTACATCTGTACAACATCTGCACTCTAGCTGCATTATACTTTAGGGTGTGGGAAACTTACATAAACGACGTAAAATTTATTCGATTAAGATTAGATACTATTAGACCCAAAATACGAAAAACAATCATGGCATGACCTCAGTAGGTTTACACTATTGAATCCTCTTCAAATTAGAATAACAACTTAATTTCATAACAATTTGCTTTTCCTTTTATACATACGTTCGTGTATTTTGCATCGATGTTATTATTGTCAACGAACTTATATCATTTGTAAAATAGCGTTTGCGTGATGATAAATGAATGACCCATTATCATCAAATGGGCTTAACTGTACGTTAGAGATGATGTATTGTTCTAACTAAAGGGAATAAAGTTTCACATCACGACTAGTTTCAGAAATGTATATATTTTCCTTAATTGATACTACAAACAGAGAAGAAAAATACGATTTTATGGTACTTACTTACTATAGGTGCCTCCAAACGAATTTTCAATTTTGATATTTTACTTTATAGTTTTTTACCTCCACATTCACATCTTAGGCCGCTAAGTTCTAGTGCGGAACTGTGCTATACACTTCTTCAGGCTCATCCTAAAGAGTCATGGCATTCAAATGGCCACATAGATCCAACCCATTGGTGATTGGTCGAATTTTAACCCGGAAACTTGAGCTCTGAAATCCCGTGCTATACCACTAGACTACCTCGCTATTAATAGTAGTTTACGACACGAGTAGAAAATTCAAGGTACGAGCCTTTGCGAATGCCTTAAAAACTTCTACGAGTGTCTACTATTTACTCGAGATGCGTACACTACTTTACCTACGACAGGTTTTTAATTACTAATAATACGAGTAATGCAGTATATACTCAAAACTTCTAAGAGAGGTTATGTTTTTGTTTATAAACTCTCATTGCCACTGACATTGGATGCGACTCATTGTACCAATCACTAATTGCACCAATCGTTAACAATTAAATTGGCAAACAGCTGATTAACTGAAGTTCGAAGCGTTACAATTTTACTTCTCTTCTCTCAATCCTTGAACCTCATTGGTCTACTACCCTCGTTGTTAAGTAAAACTATGCTGTTATGTAAGTAAATAATGTGAAACTTTTTAATTCCAAGAACTGAAACGGCCACTTAAAAAATGGTTGTAGGCAAAGGACTTAAAAAATGTACACAAAAGTCTTTCAGAGTTGTTAGAGAGTCAAAATAAAAACCGGGAATAGATAATCTTTAGCTTACAGATAATAAGCTACACAATAATATTACTTAAGAACTATAAGTACTTTACTGTAAACGACGCTTGATAATTATAGCCGAGAAGTGAAAAGCCAACTTTTAAGAGGCTTAACTGTAATTTAGAAGTATCAAGAAAACTTTAGTTGTAAGCTTTCTGATGTTTAAGCAAGAACTTAGGTTTGACAAGGATTCACTTTCAGTAGTATTGAGATGCTTTATCAACGGCTATGAGGAAAATGTCTAATTACTATACTAATCAAAGTTATTATGGATTTATAGCATCCATAAAGTATTTAGGAGTTGTAGCTTCTAAGCATTAAAAAGGAATGGTTAACTTATATTTAACGATAGCGATATACTGCTTATAGAATATAAACGTTGCATAGCCTTACTGTTTGATTAAATATGTTGTGATATTGGGGACTACTACAATAATGGTACCAAAACTTTTGCAACCATTTTTTTACAATTTGAATCGGATTAATTTGGTATGTAAATGTAAATTGTATTACATAACTACAGACTGGTATATTGCATCATATAGTTGTAAGCCCCAAAACACTGCATTAACCTCCCCCTTCTGTTGAGATATGAGGGGTTGGCGTTATCTCTTGGTGTTAATCAGTTTCAAAGTTGGGGTTCACTGAATGTTTTCACACCAAACTTAACATACATTACTGATAACCACAGAGTATTTGGCCTTATTTTTGTGGTATTTTTTATATATACTCTGATCTACTTTTTAGAGGCCGTTTTCCAACATGTTTATCTGCACTAAATGTAGTTGAATATAGTCGTCGGTCTTAGGTTAGAAAATCATAAATTGATACCCAGAGGCAAGCTCTATGTTTGATAAGATACAGGCCAAAGGGCCTCTGCTGTCTGATGACATATTGAATTATCACATGACATCACTAAATGTATTTGATGCTCAGTGGACATTACGTTTGAAAGATGTTTGGCAAACAAAGAGCTCTTTCCCCCTTTGATTAATATTTAATCCGTCATAGATTCATACGGTTCTGCTTAGTAAAAAAAATATTGAGACCAAGAATATGTTTGTATTAATAGTCTATTTATAGTTATAATACGTATTAATAGTTAAAATGCGTTAGTACATTATGATTTTCAAAACTTCGAAGATACATTTTTCAGTTCTGTATAAATAATAAAACAAACTGTTTGACAAACAACAATGCTTTGCATGTCTTTCATACTTTAACATCTACTGCACATTTCTACATCCGATCACTTGGAGTATACATTCCAGATTTTAGTTAATCTAAAAATGATGTTCCAAAAACAACAATTTATGGCATTTGAAAGTGAATGTATAATTAATTACGTGTTATTCAATAAATTCTGATAAACTCAGAAGATTCTGAAACAACAAAATAATTAAAAATATTATTTACATGAAGAATATCTTACACCCTGTAGTTAACTGGTTTAAATATTAATGTTAATTTGATTATTTTTCTGGCATAGCTAAACTAGTGAAGGTAATCACGCAAAGAACATCGTGTATGGCGATCTCCTTCTCTAAACCTGATTTGACATTAGCAGTAGGCTAGGGGATCTGCTAAATCACGTCAGTTCAACCACACGTAGTTCACGTAGTTCTAATGTTGCATTTAGTCTTTGGTCTCTGTAAAAAATGGATAATGTAATTAATCCCTTGCTACGAAAGTTAATTGTTGGAACTTAAATATCTCTAAATGTGAATATAAAAGGTAGAATTGTATTGATTTCAGAAACTAACCAGGGAGAAAAAAATATCAGTTTGTAACCATGCAGGATTTCTAAATGTGGATATATAAAAATTCATTTCAACATATTGGTGTGGATTTAAACTTTTAATAATTTGTTCCAGGATGCAAAGTAATATTTTATAAGGTTGCAACACAAGGTACACTTTGTTCACAATAGCAACTGTTTTTCCCATGTTGGATTTCATCTTGACGTCTTTGTGTAAGTTCTTTAAACTTTAAGCAGGGATAGAAAGTCTTTCTTATAAACTTTTTCAATTTCTTTTCTATTGCCCAGCCTGACATTAAGTAAAGAATTGGTATTTAATAGAAATAAAGATTTTAAGAGCCTAAAATAGGGATGTTCTGGATATTTGTGCATTAATAACTACTGTCCTAAAGAATTTCGTTACTACTTTGTATTTGCGGACTAGTATGGAATATGTTTCATAGCTTAAAACACAACAAACTTTTGGCGCCCCCGTGTGACATAACCTAAAAATTTTCGACCTACCTAGTTCCAAGTCACTTCTACATTTTAAGGTAATAGATCCAAAGGAATCCAACAAAATACCATAATGTAAAAGTTAAATAAATATTCCAAATTGATGTTTAATAATTTACAAATGTTTTATTCTAAATCTTCAATTTTGGTCACTACTCTTCATTTGTAGGTCATCATATAAATTTCTCAGTCAACTTTAAGGAAGATTTTTCACTTGAACTGCTTTCTTTAAACTAAACCTAAATATAATTTCATATATTTTTTTTTTATAATTTAAATATATATCTTTTGTTAAATATAATACTAATTAGCTTACAAGTGCCCTTAAAATGTTAATAAAATGTTAACAAAAACATTTAGCTGACTTATGCTAATTTCGAATAGTAAGCGTATTTCAAAGAATAACGTGGAAAATATAGAAGCCAGTGAAGCTGAACTCTAGGCAAGTTCCAGTATAAAATATAACTATACCTACTAGCGTATTGGCTATATTTTTGCACGATTATAGCACAATAGTTTAGTATTACTTACATGAATCTCATATAAGGGAGATAGATTTATTAACCTGTTGATTATGGTTCTATCAGATCTTTCCTAAACATTTGCATAATACTAGTATTAAGTCTGTTAAATTTAACTAATCCTGGAAAAATAAATGATAACATTATTGCAGTCATGATTATAGTTCAATTATTACATTATTATGTTCACTTCGTGTTCCAATCATGTTCATATATTTTAACTTTTGTTTGTATTTAAATTTCCAAAAAAATATGTTGAATAATAAATCATATTTTATTGCAATATGAATACAGTACATAATTAGTATTTTTACGATAAACGTTTCAATATTGTCCACTAACTCATATGCAACTTATAATCAAAGGTTTACAGATAGTATATAGAATAATTAGGTAACTAAACAAAGGGTATTGAGTATAGCAATCAGACAACTAACGCCTTACCTGTCGTAAACAGCAAGTAACAGGCAAGCTGGACCATAATTAAATCCACACAGTTATTTCCCTCGTTTATCCACACTTTCCATCGTGATTTATGGTAATCCAACACTTTTTACACTCCTCACCTCACGGTAAAAATTAAAAAATCTTCCATCACTGGTGTTTCACTTTACAACGCATTCAGTGTTTAAAATATTTACAATGTAAATTTACAAATAATTTTAAAACTCAAACCAAAAAAAAGATTTATGCTTTTTGACTTGTCAGTTGAAAAAAAATTATGATCAATGCTAAATTTTCATTTATCTATAAGTTTTGATATTTTAATTGCGTCTTTAAAATATGTTACGGGTACAAGACGTTAATTTTATGTTACGAAAACATATAAAAGACATCTAAAACGTGTATTCACGTGTATTCGCACTAGTTTCTCACGAGTATCGGTGTATGCTCACGAATACTTCATCACTTCGTGGTCGTCACAATACTGAGGTCCGACGCTCGAGCGCTACTGAGTGTTGTGGCGATGCCACCCCTCGATTTTACCCCCTTTAAATTACCCCAACTCACCCCTAGCGCCGCGACGCCCCCTCCAGTCTAGAGCGGTGGCGCCTGCATCCATCCCTCTCATCAATGTTGATGATTACCCGTCTAATTTTCATGAGTGTTGTAGTTTAATCAAGATCGTTCTTGTGTTTACTTGATCTTTAACAAGATGGTATTTGATTTTCCATTGAATTTGTAGTTTTTGTATGATTATTTTTTTCATGCAAGCTTTAATTTCTTTCAAATTATTATTTCATTTTCTTGGGGTTGAAACAGTTCTCTATAATGTATTAAGAATCTATGTGTTTTCCTGGTGTATTCAAATATTTTCTCAAAATGATGTGGTTTAATAACATTTTTTTGTTTAGTTTATAAACATTTTTTTTATATTAGCTGTCAAATATTCCAGTTTAAGGCTATTTTACCAAATGGTTTGTACAATTTAATCAAGAACAACAATGTAAGGGAATAATATTTTTTTTTTTCTAAAAAACATAACACAAACCATTCTACGAAGCTCCCATGAGTACATAAACAAATATAATTGCAAAAGTTGTAGGTCATAGTATAGAAACACAGTTACTAGGTTATTGCTTTGCACCAATGCCATTAGTTTTGCATCAATCAAAAATACCAACAAAAGGTTTGTCCCCGTCGCTCCGTCGAGACACTAAGTGCTTGTGACAGATTCTGATGACATTTAGGTGACCCGTTCTCTCTTAGGGCACGTTTTAGGGATTTGTCTCTATTAGTCTTGTCGCCTACACTTGGTTTTAATTCCCCCCCTCCGTTGAATGACGTCTTTATATTTTTATTATATATGTTTTGGCACATTTAAGATTGTATTTTGGATTGTTAATAATCACCTAAAACGTGTTATATGTTTCAGTATGTCTGTAATATATTTAATATAATAATTTCCTGTGAAATTTATTACTAAATTAATTCGCAGCTATCCAAACATAAGCCTGGTAATTTATTTATAAAATAATATATTTTAGGTCTTAGTGTATATCATTTAAAAGTTAAATTTTAAAGGTTTTATAAGGGATAATTAAAGGAAAGACATAGCTTACAGCATCAGCTATAATACACACTGTAGCTGTTAACACAAAACACTACTTTAAGTTCTAAATTTATGCTAAACAATATACAAGAGAATGCACAACCCATTTTAATTCCACCATTTTAACTGAATGATAAACATATAAACATAAACATTGCAAAATAATAACATTGTTCATGTGTTAAGACTCATATTTTGTCGACAACTTCTTTTTAGTCCTCCGGTTTTTACACAACCAAATTTACACAAATTTACACGACAGATTTTTTTCTAAAAACAACTTATAAACAATTTAATACAAACAGTGAAATGAAAAGTAAATGTACAGAATACAAAACAGTTCAATCACATTTCGTGTTACAGTTGCAGTGAAAATCTTAAAGCAAACAAATATAAACATCTTCTATATAGTAAAATCAATGGTAATAGGCAAGCATGTTTCTTTGAAACTTGTTTTCTCAGCTCGTGTGTATCTCAGGGAAAATCTACGCATACTGTTGCAAATATATTTCCTGCAGATGTGCATAGTACCTTCATAAATTAAAATAGGTTAAAAAATTAAATGTTAAATATAAAAAAATTAACATGGGCTTTTTTATGGGCTGCCATGCTGGTGACGAAATATCAACGCAATATAAACAGAAAAGAAAAACAAATGGAAGAAATTCATACGTTTTATTTACAGCGTAGGGTGAAAATAGAAAGTCTGTACATTACATATTTTTGGTCGAGTTTTCGACCCCTGGACGACCACTAGTAAATATAAATACAAATATTGCAAAACAATAACATAAATCATGTGATATGAATCATGTGTTGTTGTCAACTCCTTATTAACTATAATATTATGTTTTAGTGATTTCACAGGTCCTTTACACCTTACTCAAGTGATAAAAACTAACAAATTTAAGGACAAAATTTAATATAACATAAGTAGAATATTTACAGTATTACCTTATTTTGTATTTAAATATAGGAGAAATATGATGACCTTCGGGAAAAGCGATCCTGTCCATGTTATGCCTAATGATGTTAACAGCAACCAGTTTTATCGATAGTAGCTAATTTACCCATGTATGGACCTACGATATGTGAGTGCAAGATGGTTGTGATGCATGGGATAATTTGTTACCAGCTAAGACAACTAAACGAAACAATCTTCGGGCAACGTAATACACAAATAATTTAAACGGCAGACAAATCTAGTTATCTTCTACCAACAATCTCCTAATTAGTCTTGAAACCGGGCTTAAAAGAGAAACACTGATATTGAAGCAAGAACAAAGTATTACATCAATTATTTTTACAATATAAGTATTTTTACCATTACAAATATTTTCAATTGTTAAAGAGAGTTCGAAGAAAAGCATTGTAAATTATTGAGGAGGAACATGGAGTGCTTCTTTTCAAAGTCGGCTCCTATTGATTTTCTGTCTGTAGATTACATAGAGAGATATTGTAGTGTATTGTGTTCAAAGTAACTGTGCCACCGCTATTTAATTCAAACCATTTCTTAGGTGGGAAAATATTATTTTGCCAATTATATTTAATTGCCTATTGAAATATGATTTACAATGCCACATACATTCATCCATTGAAATAATTTCATATGATTTAGGACTTGAACGTGTAACTTAATTACGGACAGATTATCATTGTGCTGAGTCAATTAATATAGGACAAAAATGGGAGTTTGTATGGATAAGAAACGTTTAACACTAAAATGTATTTCAAGAATTTGAATTTTAAATAACTACGGCTAACAACTAAGACAAAAATGTTGCTACTCGTAAATAAGTATGTTTTTAGCGAATTTCTCTATAGGGAAGTAGCTATTACCGTAGGTGGCATGGTGAGACCTAGGCCCGGGACCGATTTACTTTTTCATTTTGTTGTTCTCAGAGGCCAAAAACACCATTTGTTAAAATTTGTATATATGTATACAGTATGTGTCAGTGAACACGATAACTTGAGCAATTTTTGTCAGATTTTTATGAAATTTGGTTTAGAGGTGTGAGGCAGAAAAAACTTAAATGAGTTCACGAACCAGCATGACGGACCATGGGAACGGGATTTTTTTACCCTAAACACACAAAATTTCCCAATTTCTCTCAAGACCTTTTTAAAGAGCTTAAAAAAATAATTTAGTATATCAAAGTGTTTTTGTACGGTTAATGGTAACGGAGAAAATAAAATAAATTTTTAATTAAAAATTCCCATGTTATTCTTAAAGAGAATATTGTAAAATGTAGTTTGCTTGTTTATGGATATTTTTTATCAAACTTTGCAAATTTATTGATTTTATACTAAGCTATTATTATATATAAAAAATACACTTCATTAGTTTCTTTGTAGCAGCAAACCTAGGTACTCGTTTAACCTGCTATTTAGATAGATTTAATTGAAAATCAATTCAGACAAATAGAAATTCGCTTAGTCGGCAGGTTAGCTGTGGCGGGGGTATTTAGATAATATTGAGTCTATCTACGACAAGGGATTTTCCTAAAGTCTTTGTGAGGGAGTGGTGGAGCGGTCCAAACCCTGGTCTGGTTAATATCTAAATTCCACCTTTTGTTAAAAATCATTAATTGATAATTAATAGCCCAATGCAAACATTGGACTTGGATCTGGTAACGATCTTGCTTGGAATTGAACCAGGGACCTTCAAATTTTATGGCGAGCACTATAAGCAATCTGCTGTCTAGAAAAGTACATGATAAATCTGTGTAAAAAGGAACAACTGTTATGATTTTATTTTTATTACCGATCTTGTCAAAACAAAAGCATTTGAATGATTGTCTTTACAATCAACAGTTTGTTTTGTGCCGTAGATGGATTCAAAGAAGCCATATAGTCCAGGCGCTAAACGGGTTGAGTATGCACTGAAAGTCTGACAAAATTTGACTTTTGATTATTGTTGGGGACATGTAGTAGATGAAAAAAATCGATGATGTCGCATTTCTAGGGTGGTCACAACTCGGGGGGGGAGGGGGGGAAGTTGCGCGGGTCATCGGTTTACGTTTCCGCGTCTTACTCACAAACGGTTTATGATAGAAAGGTGGTTTAAGCGTCTATCAACGCCTAAATATATTGTCTTTCAAAAAGGTTATTACAACCTTTCTTCTATCTCTTATACTTTAGGCGCTAATCAACATTTATTGCAAAAAATAAAATTTAAAAATACTTTTAAATGAAATATCGGAAATATTGCGCTTGTTTAGGGCATGTTACAAACCATTCATGGTTAGAAAAACTAACAAGTAGTACAACAACACCAAGTTTACAGAAATCTGTGCAAAAACAACAGAGCTACGTTGATTTCAGTAAGAGTAAACGTGGAAAATTCGTAGTAGTATCGAGGCGCGCATGGACGGTACGTAGCCCACAGTCAATATAGGTTTGATGTTGTAAGTAACTACGGGAAAGCTGGATTTTTCTATGCTGTTAGACCATGTTGAGATGATCATTTTCCCGAAAGTCAACACTCCTCCCTCGTTGTGCTTTCCTCTAACCCCCCTTTTTAGATAATCTACAGCCTCTTAGCAATTAAGCTATAACTTTAAAACGGGTAAGGATAATAACGCAATCTTTTATTAATAATTTTGCGTTACGATATTCTACAAATAGTGTATTTACCATGGTATCCTAAATATTCATAGTTAAAAAATATCATAAACATAAAAAAATAATTTTTACGGATTAATTTATGTTACTTTTCTTATTAGATTTTTTATACGAGGTCGCACAACAAAATGTTTTATACAAAATTTGGGGTGCATAGTTT